TCTCTCTCTCTCTCTCTCTCTCTCTCTCTCTCTCTCTCTCTCTCTCTCACGTGCGTGCATCTTTGGTCTTTCTGTCTTCACTGTCTTGCGCACGTGCATGTTTGGTTCGTCTTTCACTGTCTTGATTCTTTCTTTGCATGGATGTGTATTGGCATAGCCATTATTATTCTTGATGCAGAAAAATGGGACTTATGCTTCTGGTTGATTTTCCATTGTATCTGATATGCATGGTGGTTGTGCCGTTCCTCCTTGTCCCTTTCTGTACGCCTGCCCTTTTTTTTTTTTTTGGTGCTGTAACGCATGCACTCGCCTGTGCTTGACTGCTGTGCTGCAGTTCTGTAAGAGCCGCCTTACGCAACTACCGTGCCCGAAGGGAAGACTGACTGAACGAAGATAGTTGAGACAACTGGCGAAGACAAGTTCCACTCCATCAAGATGGCGGTCGATGTGGTTCCTCCTCGTAATATAGAGGTGTGTGTGACTGTTTTACCACCTGCTAATTTGGAAAAATAATTGGTGGCAGTACATCTGTGTGTGTGTTTGTGTGTGCGTGCGTGTGTGCGTGTGTGTGAGTGTGTGTGGGGAGAGAGAGGCTTGTGGTTCTGCTTATGATATGGCTGTTTTTATGGTGGTGTGCATGGCTATGAATGGTCAGGTTCCACGGCTGACGACAATGCTCCGGGCGACTAGGCCTTATGGGCCGGTGTTTGACATCGATGTGGAATTTGTGAAGCGCAAGATGGCACTCGAAGCACTGAAGGCTAAGAGGTGTGTGGGAGTGACCCATGACTGAAATCTCTACACACAGCGGCATTATGAGCCCACAAAATGGTCGATGGCTTCTGTTGCAAGCACAAGCAAAGGCTTTGGTTTTGTGGTTCTGAGTGATATAAAGAAATCAAGTATTGATGAGTGACTAACGTGGTTGTCATTGATATTGGATTGGATGGCGTGCTTGATAGCAGATCTCCACTGCCCAAGTCTCAGGTTGGAAGGTCCGAGTTTGCACGCAAAATCATCCCATCATGGGACACGGGTATGTTGGCCTGACCATATCTATCTCAAGCCATGGCATTTTCATCTGCCTCTGGATGAGAGCACTGTGCTTTGACTCCATTTTGTGTCCTTATCGTACCTCGTCTTTGGCATGCTCTCTCTCTCTCTCTCTCTCTCTCTCTCTCTCTCTCTCTCTCTCTCTCTCTCTCTCTCTCTCTCTCTCTCTCTCTCTGTGCTTCGGTGTCACGCTCTTCTTTTGTGTTCCCTCTTCGGTGTCACGCTCTTCTTTTGTGTTCCCTCGGAGGACTAATGTGGACAACTTTTGGCTGAGAGTCACACTTCTATATATTTAATAATTTTAATAATTTAATTATGATTCATTTTCTTTTTCCAAGGGGATAGTCCTTGACTTTTGTTGTATTCGTGTAGATGAATTAGATCCATCAGGATTCGAACTCGTGAGTTGTTCAGTAATAGCTTCATGTCTGTACCATTCAGCCTCATGGACTGGACCACCTCTACATCCAAGGCTCCTTTTTCCAAGGCTGTGTTGTGCTGTCCGGCAAAGAAGAAGCGAACCTGCGGAGTTTTTTTTTCTTCTTTTTGGCGTGTACTGCCAGCCAAACAGATCCGGTAGGCTGAGGCCTTCGGACGCAGCGAATTAACCACAGGAATAAAATAGCTGGGAGGTGGAGTGGGGGCTCAGTAAAATCAAAGATAAATAATAAACTATAATTGAATTTGGATAGCTGGCCAGAACTGATGCCTCTCACATGCTTCATGCTCATCTAAGCATCATGACACCTGTTTGTGTGTGTGTGTGTGTGTGTGTGTGTGTGTTGTCACGTTGGCTATACACAACTCCATGGGTGGTATTGCGTTTGCAGCACCTCAAGAGGCACGAACCACATACGAAGAGTTTCTTGGAGTCATTGGGGAAGTTACTGGAGGGGAGATGCAATCCGAGGAGATCCATCAGGCGGCTGACGTCATATATGAACATCTGTGCGATGCTAATGCTGGCCGGAGTGGCGGAATCTCCGGGACCTACCTACAGGAGAAGAAGTGAGTGCATGGTTTCTGGGACAACTGGTTGCCAGTGTGTCGCAAGCAGTCCCTCCCCTCCCTATGTGATAGTATTGCCGATTAGGATGAACGCAACAACAAACTTCGAGGACGTCGAAAGTGACGAAAACCTTCAGAACGACTGTCCCATGTGCATAACCGTGTTCTCTTTGGGCATTGCCACACCGCTGCCGGCATGTGAGAAAGAGAAAACTGATGGCGGGTGTATCTTTCAATGTTCTTCCTTCCGGAAGATACGTCCTCCATTTCACACATTCCCGGGGGCAGTGGTGTAGTGAGGCCCCTCACGTTGGCTCCAATCCAGAGATGACCTTTTGGTATTGTAAAGACTGGCTGGCCTCTGATAATTCAGATTTGTTTTATTCATCTGATTCCCTTGGTTTCAAACTCATGATCTGTTTATCATCAACAGTTACATGGGTGCACCATGCAGCCACATGGCCCGGGCCCATGGCACCTCTTCCTAAGGTGGCAAGTAGCTTTGCTTCCCACCTGCTCCATCTTTTCCTGATCTGGCAGTAAAGACCCCACACAATTAGTGAAGGCCCTGAAGGGCAAAGATGATGGAATGTGGAAAATGTTGCATACCATGGAAAAGACTGGAAACAGTGGAAACAGTGGAAAGTGATGATTGTCCTTGGAAAGGAAGGTAGGTTTCAAACCTTGGAAAGGAGTAGTTAGAGAGGTAGTCCGGAGGCTTGCCGTGAGGGAGGCTGGGACATTTTTGTGCATTTTTTTAACAAAAAAAAAAGGTTTCCAACTTGGGAAGGAAGGAGGAGAAGAAAATGGCTCATTACCAGCTTCATAACCCGCGGATTGCAACAAATTTTTTTTTTTCTTTTTTTTCCCCTTTCTCTTTTCTTGGTCAGTGATTTTTGTGCATTTTCTGAGTATATGTAGGTGCCATGCCTGCATAGAGGCCATTCAAATGTTCTCTGTATCGTTTTGTTTGTTTCTGTCCGAAGAAGGGCTGTACCGAAGGACAAGCGTTGAACCTATTATATGGAAGAATGACTTGCACTCTTCTTCAGTTTCGTCCTTCAGGACATCCGTTGAAATCCAAACGATACATGGCAGATTGACATGGCCCGCCTGCGCACTCGAGGATGACACACATAAATCGAGAAATGGTCCAGAACTAGAAGGGGAAAAAAAAAAAGGACAGGTGTGTGAAGATGAGGCTGCATTGCAGCATGTTGTTATAGCAAGCCCTGTGCAGTCTTCATCTTCATATCAGTAGTGTTTCCCTTGTCGTGGGTTCGCCTCTAGGAATGATTGATTAGTTGTAGAAGAAACGCATGCGGACAAAAGAAGTTATGTCACTTAGTGAGATGTGTGAGGGCAGTTTTGCAGTAGATGCTGACTTGCTTGGACGGTTGCTTTCTTTCATCTTTGGTCTGGTTGGAAATGATGTTTCCTCCCCAGGAAGGAGCTGGTGTCCCTTCTTGGCCATGTGTCCTCTGACGCAGCATTGCGGAAGGCAGCTGATGTGGCAGTCAAGCTGAGAGGGTGGCAAGCAAAGCTGAAGGAGCTGTCTGCCACAGAGAGGACTGAGGCGAGACCGGCATCAGAGGGGAGATCGACGGCTGTAATGTCTTCCATGAAAGAGGGCAAAGAATTCGGTTCATGGATGGAGTTCCAACTGCGACCGTTTTGGGAAGCAGAGGATGAGGATATCGACGAGGACGACGAGGAAGATGTCGATGCGGAAGTGCTCGAGGCGTCAGGGCTCTTGGAATCGAGTGAGGCGAGGAGAGCAGGATCGGAATCTTGGGCAAGTGTCAGCGGGGCTGGATGGGATGAGAGGAGTTCGACACCTGCAGACATCGGTGGGCATGCAGAAGAAGCGGGGAGCTTGCGATGGCTGAAACGAGTTTGTGACCACTTTGCGTCATTGGGAGGAGGCGCACAGTTCACCGGGGATGAATTGGCGCTAAATATCTGCAGGGCACTTGACTCAGACGACTCGATCGAGAAGGTAAAAGCTGTTGATGGTGACTGCGACTGAAGCCATATTCAGACCACTAGGGCTTTTTCGACCGATGTTTTGGTCGTCAGAATCTCTCAGGTACATCCAAGTGTGGCTGATATCGCACTCGGATACATCCAGGGGAATAGAACGTACGTCGTACGGTCATTATCGCTGTATCTAGACTGAAATTTGACCAAGAAAATTCAGAGATAGTGGCCGTATGTGCTACTCGGGGGGAAGAGAGTAGGACCTGCTGATACTTGTTGTGATTTGCTCGTTCTGGCTTGCCATGGAACTTACCAAACTTAACTCTACCAAACTATAACAAACTTCACTCTACCAAACTTTACCAAACTTCACTTCACTCTAACTAACCTTAACTCTACCATACTGAAGAGACAGAGTAGTAAACCGTGCGCGCTGTTTTGGGCATGACGGTAGTAGCTGGTGCTTGGAAATGATTTGACCCTTGTTCCATCTCACGTTAAAGTGGAACCACCAATTGTGGGCCCAACCTTTGCGAAAACGCCTGTCGGTCAAACACGGGGCTGTGGAAAGGCTCGGAGTACGCGTTGCCAAAAGACTGGCGGCGTCAGGCAAATTGGGCGCTGTGAGGGTTTGAATTTCTTGCGGATGGGCAAAAATCCGTTTTGGGAAAGAGACGCTGGGAACGACTGGTGGTTTGAAACAGCAGTAACTAGAGAAAGAAAGGGCTAATGCAGTGAAAAAAGGTCCGTTGGATATTTGCAACAACAGTGATGGTGTGTGGAGAGAGGCTCCTGAGTGTTTGCAGGCTGCCAGCCATCTAATGCTGCACACAGCCACTACGATGCTCCTACCGTCTTCACCTGGATAGAACACCCGGTCATTATCGCTGTATATAGACTAATGCTGTGCCAAACACAGCTATAATGACTGGGCGTTCTGTTAGGGTGAAGAAAGTAGGGTACTCCAATGTTCTTGGACTATTCAAGGATGAAGTGGGGGGCGACTTCCAGAGTCCCCAGTTCCGCCAGACCAGATTGCATTTTCAATTTTTTTTGTTTGTCCACACACCCATACCCTGCCCCCTTTATCTCACACGGGAATGTGGCCAGCTCAAGGTCAACCAATAATCAAGGTGGCAAGCCCTGTACGTCAGAGGCACAGTAAAAGGGGAGCCTCAAGAACAAATGAAAGGGGGTACCCCAAAGAAAGCCAAAGTGAAGATAGCCAAAAAGGGATACAGCGGATCTATTGTGCTGCGTGTTGCTTTGCTATAGTACAGTGGTAAAACTGTTTCACTCTTGGATTGACTCATCTGTAGTGTGCTTCATCATCTGCAATAGCCGTAAAGCTGCATCGATTGCGGATCTACCCATCTGGGAGGAACAGGGCCTGTTGATGCGACAACATTACAGCACCCCCTTCCCAATCTATATGTTGGGGGCATCAGTCCAGTTGCTTATTACCGGCAAGATTGCATTTCCAAGCTAAACACCGCTGAGTAAAAAAAAAAAAAGGTTGTCAAGGGATCAAGCGAAGGCATAGGTTTCCCTAGTCGGAACTAGACAAAGTGCCTACCGCGGAAAAAAAAAAGTAAAAAAAAGTGCGTGCGAGTGGTCTTCTTGACTTGGTGTTGGGAGAGAAACCCGCTTGGCATTACCTTGAATAGAAGAAGCTGTGGTCACCCGATGCAGGAACCAAAAAAAAAAAGAAGACATTTGACAGAGGTTTCCTTGATGTTCGGCTCAGCTCGTATATGTGCAGTAGAGCAGAATTTTTTTTTTTTTTTTTTTTTTTTTTTTTTGTTAAGGCTATTTCTTTTAAGCCCAACCAATTCAATTGCATCATTTTGCATGTCAAATCTGGAGAGAACGGCCTTTCAGAGGTTTCAGGCCTTTTTATTATCATTATAGTATTACGGGGAAGTTGGGGAACCTGTAGCAGCCAGCTGGAGTTCAAGCCTCCAATGAGCAGTCATGCAGGGGCTGCATCCAACCTGCAGGTGGGCGATACCGGCCAGAGGTAAGCCGATAGCATCAGGACCGAGCTTCTCCGATGGGCCAGTTGCTGTGCCCCCCCTGCGGTCCCCTCCCCGGGTGCCAGGCTTTCCCAGGAAGGTACGCGAGGCCAATGGGGATTGAACTCAAGACCTCCTGATTGCCCACTTGCATGTCTTAGCAACTGAGCTAGGCCACTGGATTCCAGCGGAATCCATGGGTCACTTGGTGGTCATAGCCAACCCCCAAAAAAGCTACGAAAAACATTACAGATAATATAAGGGGCAGGTGCATCCTCGCTGTGTTGGAAAAGCGGTCATATACGATGTTTATACATCCAGCGAAGTCCTAGTCTGAGTATTCCCTAAGCATCATCAGAACTGCCAGCATGAGATGACATATACTAAAAGCATTTGACAAAACTGTCAGAAGGTCTGGGTCGCACCGCTGTAGGGCTCGACTTGCGATCTGATTAGGACTAGAAAAAAGTTCACGAACGATGCCCCCAGGAGGAGACTGTCCTTGGGGATGTCACAAGCCATCTGATCTCCCCACGGGTTGAGTACAATGACAGGCACCTCCCGAGGCCTATCTCCAGGTGGCGGGTGCCAGGCTTGCCCAGGAAGGTACATGAGGCCAATGGGGATTGGACGCAAGACCTCCTGAATGCCCACTTGCGTGCCTTACCAACTGAGCTAGGCCACTGGATTCCAGCAGAATCCATGTGTCACTTGGTGGTCATAGCCCACGAAAAACATTACAGAGTATAAGGGCATCCTCACACTAGGACTTTTCCCAGTTCTCTGTGGGCATAATCTTGGTCAGGTACATCCTTGCCGTGTTGGAAAAGCGGTCATATACGATGTTTATACATCCAGCGAAGTCCTAGTCTTATATTCCCTAAGCATTACCAAAACTGCCAGCATGAGATGTCAGAAGGTCTGGGTCGCACTGCTGTAGGGCTTGACTTGCGATCTGATTAGGACAATAAAAAAGTTCACGAACGATGCCCCCAGGAGGAGACTGTCCTTGGGGCTGTCACAAGCCATCTGATCTCCCCACTGGTTGAGTACAATGACAGGCACCTCCCGAGGCCTAGCATCCAACCTCTATTACTATCTGGACTTAAAAAAAAAAAGAGAAAAAAAAAAAGGAAATGACAGAGTGTATAAGCAATTGCCAAAACTCTTCATCCCTTCTAAACATCACCAAAAAACTCCCAGCATAAAATGAATGACACATAGTATAAGCCAAAGTGTCAGAATGAAATCACAGACAGTGTATAAGCAATTGCCAGAACTCTTCATCCCTTCTACCAGCGCTAGATGTTATCCTCTTTAGTACCTTTTGCTGCATGCCCCTCACCTTTTCCAATATATATGCATGCAGTCCTGTTCGTGACAGTTCTTTTTGGTCCTATGGGTTTGTCTTCTGTGCAGATCGCCAACGAGATTGTGGAGTTAGTGGGCTATGATTCGTTGGATACAATTCAAGTGATCATATCGGTACAGTTTTCCTTTCTGCTGCATACCCCCTTACTACATCGCCTTTACCTCACAAGTGGGTATCTGGGACCCATACTTTTCAGCCCATAGGTTAATCTCCCAAGCATTGAACAGGGCACTTGGGAATAACTTTTTTTTTTGGCTGTTGGTTTATTTGTTGTCCGCTCCACGGATTGGAGACAAGTTTGGTTTATAAAAGGTGTGGGAGATCTGTTACAAAGACCTTGAGAAAACGCTGGAAATTTAGGGCTCTGTTACACCACAGGTACACTGCCATACGGCCATGGCCCCCTCACCGCGAGTTTCGGAGGGGCCCTAAATGCGATGGCACACCGGCCCCGACTTTTTCGGAGTAGGTGACAAACAATTTCTCCACAAGGCTGGGGGCCATGTACTACCGTCTTCACCCGAATAGAACGCCCAGTAATTATCGCCGCATCTGGGTTGAAAGTTGTGCCAAATACAGGTATAATGACCGGGTGCAGTCCTACCAGACCAGTCCAGTGTGGCGCTGGTGAACTCTAGGGCCCATGACCTGTCGGTACCACAATTGTCGGGGCCAGTACCCCGACTTGACATGGATGGCTGTTTTCCGAGACTGAACAGGCCAACATTGCATCAGGCCAAGATTTCCACCTAACTGGCCCTTGACAGGCAGTGGCATCTTTCGGGCTGTGCACTGAGTGAAAGGCTGCCGGTGTATGTGCATGTGGTACAGCAGCCCAGGAGAGTGCCAGCTACTTGGCATCTAGACATCCTGCACCAGAGTTGGTCACTGACCAGAGCGGGTGAAGAGAGAAAGAGAGAAGGGTGACACATGAAGCGGAGAGTCCTTGGTGGGAGGAGGAGGACCGTGAGAGGAGCACACTTGGCAAGGGACATACCTGGTGGTCACTGAGATAGCGGCGTTGTATGTTCTTTGTCCGGACATTGGCGGGAGCAGGATTGGGCTGTGCGGCATAAAGTAGGCTAGGGGACAAGCTAGCAGGTAAGGCTTTTGGGATGTTTGTATTGTTTGATTGGATCGGTTGAAAGGAGAACTAATTAATCGTGTTGGTTCTGAATTTGAATGTTCGGATGTGACAGCATCGGAAAGGGATTGTTGCAGCCGCAAGAGCAGCAATGTCAGCTGTTGCGGATGATTCAGGTGGTGGAAAGCAGCAGGGACGTATGCCCACGTATGGAACTCAGGTTAATTCATATACCTTCTGCCCAGTTCTCTGTTCTTTCATTTCTCTCTGTCTCTCTCTCTCTGTCTGTCTCTGTCTGTCTGTCTCTCTCTCTCTCTCTCTCTCTCTCTCTCTCTCTCTCTCTCTCTCTCTCTCTC